AGGGAAAAAGCTTAGTTTGCACATTGATTCATTTGCATATGTCCCAGTGATACAGAGAAACCTAAGGGCTTTACAGTATAATTTGATACAATGGAGGAAAAAAAAACAAAAAAAAAAAAAAACTAGAAAGTCAATATGTCCTTTGATAAATTTTAGTTTTTAATTCATGCTTCAACTAGTTGTTCTCCCATCTTCAAATAAACATGTAGACTAAAATAAAATGCTAGCAAATTGTAAATGATTCAGGTTATTGTTGAAATAACCAGAATAATTTACAAGAATAATTTGCTCGCTTTCTTAATCAATAAAAAAAATCATTTTTTGTACTAAAAGCTAAGTATTCAGCCAATTACTAATAGCAACATTGCAAACCATTTGGGGAAAAAAAAAGATCACTTTCAAGTTAGTACATAATTTATCAATGTGATGATCGAATATTACTTGGAATATTTTCTAATTTTCTTTTCTAAGTAATTATTTTAAGTGAGTATTTCTTTAAATATGCTGTCACTCCAAGATGCAGATGATCATGACACTCCACAGATTCATTTACTTTATTATCTATGAATTGCCATGTCTGCTAGGGTAAGATAGTGGAGTGGTTTCCCCATTGCCTTCTCAATAGTTTGGAATCCAGAGTTTTCCTTCCCTTTGGCTGATTAAAGAGCACAGTCTACCCTGCTAGTTAACTCATAGCCAAGAGTGGGAGTGGAGAGAAGAGATGAATTCATGCCTTCCCCAAAATGTGAGAAAATGAATGTAACACATGAACCAGATTCCACATTGATATCCATTACACAACACAAAATCAGCAGGATCTTCCATGTTTACAAACACAACAAAAGGGACAAAGAGAACCATAGAATTTAATGATTTCAAGCCAAATAAAATTCCAAAAAGTAAGAGAGCAAAAACGAGACCTACTGATTCTCTCCAAACTTAAAAGAACACAATTCAAACAACTAACATTTTAAACTGATGGTTTCATTAATTGTTCAATGAAGGTAAAATAAATTCAGTTTTCTCTTATAATTCAAGGCCCTGATCACTACTAAATATAAACCATGTTATACAACTATTAATCTACCCGATCATTTTTCATATTTTCTTTATACAAAAATATCATAAAAAGACTCCCAACAGATACCAAAAGCCATGAATAGTACCAAAACCTCTATGTAATATACTGTTTTCCTAATCATACATACCCGATACATTTAGCACAATAAGTGGTGATTAACTGATAATAAAATAGGAAAATCATAATGTACCATAATGCTACATTATGGAGAGAAGATGTTTTTATTGTAGATCTTAGCAACCTAAGCATATGACATTTTCCCCCAAAATTTTCACTTAGAAGTAATTTACAACTTCTTTTTTGGCATATTTGAATTGCCACTACTCTTATATTTTGGAACTGTTATTAAGTAAAGCTCAAATTGATTATTTTAAAGGTTGACTACATCTAGATGAACCCATGGATAAGGGTAGGGAAGGACCCTTGTGCTATAAAACATTTGATATAGTCTTAGGGTATAATAAAATAGTTATCAACTTTTACTTTGTATGGTTTTCTTCTAAAGAAAAACGTGACATGAATAGACAAAAGTAGTGGGGGGAATAAACAAGTCACTCTGCCTCCAGTCTAAGTAGTTTGACCTTTTATTTAAAGGATACATTAGTCTTACAGTCTCATGCACTCAAAATAGTAGCTGCCAAATAAGAGTAACACTTAGTAGAGGTTCAATAATGTCTCCTTCTTTACCATAGAAGTCTTAACATAGGAAACATCAAAGTTAGGAAGTAAATTCTAAATCTTAAATTGATAGAAATTCTTTTCAAAAATAGACACATGTCTTAACATATCACTTCAATTAATGTGTTAGGAGGACAGTATTTTTTGTAATGCCAATTAACACATAATATCTAAGCAGTTATGATTTATGAAATATGACAGTAGTGAGCATGAAATCACTGACAAGAAAACAACAGAAAATATGTGAAGTTTCAGAAGATGGGGAGGTAGTGCATTTCTGAAAGCTTTTATTGGAAATTTAGGTTTTTCAATTAAGAAATAAGAATTTGACAGTTTTTTTTTTTAAACTAAGTTTTGCAAGCCATTAAGATTTGCTTCTAATAGGTATAAAGATAGTTTCTTGGTAAATTGTTGCGTCTTAATTCTTTAGTTCTGCAAGTGAAATATGCTAAGTTCAATACCTTATTAAAAAAGAAGATATTCACATGTAATATTTCAAGTTTCACTATTAAAAGAATATTTCACAGCAAAAATTACAATAATAGCAATAGACTGACCATGTTAAGCTGGACAAATAAAACATTAAAGATTTCAATATATACATTCCTTTGCAAGGGAACATTAGGCTAAAGAATTTTATCAAAAATGAAATGCAGAGCTGCTAACCACTTGTGATAACAGCAGCTGCTCCAGTCAGTTAATGTCTCTGCAGAAGGAAGGCACATATTATTATTATCATTATTATTATAACAACAACATTTTCGTGGCTGTGCCCTCCAGCTATCTTCAGGCATTTGTTGATTCTAGTAGAATTCAGAGAGTTTTGAATTGAATCCATTATTTAGTCTATAGGGGAAGGTTGTTCTCATTGAAGAACACACAAGCATCCTGATAGTCAATATTTCCACCAGGTTATCTGTGTACAGACAACATTCTTCAAACTAGAGCCTGAGATATATCAGTAGGAGAAAGGCTTGGCTATGAGTTCATCATTGTCATCAGTGATGGCAAACATATACATGGAACACTTTGAGGAAATGGCTTTAGGAACAACTCCACTAAAGCTAATCATATGGCTGAAGTACATAGTTGACACCTTCATACTCTGGCTTCACCAGGAAGCTATACAAATACTGTCAGGCCATGTGAACTCAGTAAGACCTTCAATCCAGTTCACAATGGGAGAAGAAAACAAAAATAAGATAGCTTTCCTGAATAAAGTAATCTGCACGGAGAATTGGTTCAATACATCCATGTATTGCAAGTCAACCTTCAATGGAAAATACCTTAACTTGAATTCCCACCATCTGTACAGCATAAAGAGATCGATTGTGCAATGCCTACAACAATGTGCAAAAAATCATAAGCGGTAACCCATACACATACCAACAGCCTTAAATGTACCCTTCAGAATAAAAACTACTCTGCAAACACAATAGGCTGAAACAAAAGGGTTGAATAAGAGGATCTAAAAACTGTCAGGGTCTGTCTCTTTTACATCAAAGGCCACTCAGAAAGGTTTCAGAATATGTTCAGTCAATAGAACACAAGGATAATATTAAAAAGCAGCTCAACCCTACAACAAAATCCCTGACAAGTCAAGCCTAACATAGTGGAGAACATGACCAAGAACTATATGTATTCCATCACTTACAGTCATGGTAAAATATACAAAGATGAAACCAGCCACCTGCTAAAAGGCTGGAGAAATATTGAAAGCCATAACTAGGGGTGAGACAATGAAATCAGGTATGGTTGATCATGTATGGAGAGAAAAGGGTAGTCACCAACCTGTGTGTAATGAAATAAAAATACTAGACAGAAATGAACACAACCGAAGGAATCGGCAAATATGCTAGGCTATAAGGACTTCCTCAGTAGGTTTAGCATAGAAATAAATGCAATATGGGAGTCATTAATAAATAGAGAATGACAGAAAGACTTCAAAAGCAGCAGCAGTAAGAAAAGAGAAGTCACAGTGAATGTAGTCAAGCAGGTCAGTGCCAGGTAGATTAGGCTTAAGCCTCCAAGTTATAAACCCAAAATTTCCCATGGGACAATAGCCTAATAGATCAAAGCATTGGTTTGTGAATTTGGTAATAAAGTTCAATTCCTGGGTCAGGTAGTTCAGACTTAAACTCTGTGGAAACAGAGGGAGCAATAAGAACAAGAGGAGATATCACTAGACATGGACAGAAGAATTAGAACAATCTGCTTCTGTAGATTAAATAAAGGGTTCAGTTTGAAATTCCCTGAAGGTTATGTGGATTGACAATTAGCTGAAGAAGGTCAGAGAGCACAACAGCTGAAATGCTGCGATAATAACAAAGATGAGGACATTAATCTGAATGTAAATAATTAAAAAAAACAGACTTTAAAAAAGCAAAATGACATTATAGATTTTGATTTGATGGAGACTGTGTTAATCAACAACTCAAAAAGCATTTAGAAATTAAAAATGGAATCTGAAATTATCAAGGATATTTATACAAACAGGCAAGTCATGGAGGAGTGATCAGCACACATTGTTGTGTAGATTTGTGGAGCAACAATATACAAGACATTCTTACTAAAGGTTAAAAAGTAATTTAGTGAACCATAATATATGTTCTTATTTAAAAGTTCAACTTTAAATACAAGAGTACTATAGTATCTATGCTCTTCGTTATATATCTTAAATATGGGTCACCAATCTAAGTTTAATATATCACACCAAGTTATTTACTGTTAAAATTTACCTAAGGCAAACAGCTTAGATCCCGTAAATAAAACGTCACGTTTTTTTTTTTTTTTTTTTTTTAACTTGCCAGGACTAAGATACACATGTCAAAATGTAACTGAATCAAAGATCATCTAATTTATGTTAGATATTTAGAGCAAAGATCAAAATGTCATAATGTAAAATTGAAGCAACTGAGCAAATTTCAAGTCTTATCTAAATGCTATCTTTTTTAATTTGATATTGCTCAACAAAATTATTATTAAAGTTAAGCCTAAAACATGAAGCCAAAGTGCATACACTGAAATGTAACCATTCAGGCTTGGGACCAACATTGAGCAATCACAAAGCCATATTGTGCATACCATGCAATCCCTATTAGGGATAGATTAAAAACAATTCTGTTCAAAATTAGTATATATCCACTTTTTCACATGCATGTATGTGTTGGTAAGTACAGAGGATGCTTATTTAAAAAAAAAAAAATCAATCAAAAAAGAACAGGAATGATGGAGAACTTACTTGGGCCATTGCTTTTCTTTGCTAGTCAGTGGTACATAAATAACTCCCATGTGGTTCTTTTTGGTGACAGTGCCATCAAGTGACTTGTCAATCTGCTGTAGCATCTGGTTCTCACCTTGGCCTCCCACTGGGATTACCAAACGGCCACCAGGTTTCAACTGTTCAACCAGCTAGAGAGAGAAAGAAAATGAAACTGCTTACTATAGATTTAAATTCTGCATATTTTTAAAAAAAAGTTTTAATAGTTTTTCTATTTCAATTGTTACTGAGGCCAAAAAGGAAACATTAAAAACTATTTTAAAAAGCGTGGGTGTGTATTCTAAAATAAAAGTCAACCAGAGGTAGTATTTTGAAATTATATTCTTAAATGACACAATAATGCCTATTCTTTTTTTGTATATTGATCACCTGCTTGTAGTCATGTAAATAAGTTGCTTATCATTGTCTATCTAGTCCTCATTAAGTTTGCATAAAAATTATAATCTTTATTACACACAAGATGCTAGTCAACACTTTTACATAATTTGGTCAGTGGATGCAAACTGAATGTAATACAGAATTTTACTGTTACCCTTTGTGAGTTACTGATGTTTACATGCATGAAGAGACTACTTTGAGGGAGAGGGTGGAAACTTGGTATTAAGACAAATATTTTTTATAATTTTCTCAATTTGTGTGTGTGTGTGTGTGTGTGTGTGCGCGCACACTGTACCAAAAATCAGAAGCTAGATGACTAATCTTGTGCAGCAGCCTCTAACTCAGCAAAGTGCAGCAATGTAATATAGCATCAGTTCCACAAGTGGTCATAAGATCTCTGAAGAAATATTGAGCCATTCCTTTGGGCATGTAAATGTCTTGATAGTTGTCCACAGCTTCCAGATATTTCTAAGTTCAGGATCTTGTGTCCAAACTGAACTCTTCACCACATCTTACAGATGCTTGACAACTCAGCCCAATAACACAGTTCCTGCTGGAATCACCCATCATTGTTGGGGTACATGGAGTCCATAAATGGGTGAAAATGGTCACCAGTCAAAGTAGACAAGCAGACCCAACCTATATAATATGAACACACCCCACACCATTATGAAACTACCACCAGCCTTCATGGTGCTTTATTGACAATTAAAAGAAAGTTATGGCCAAACACCTAGAACTGGGACTCATTAGATTACACCACATGTTGCCAGTCCTCCAGGATTGAATTAGCTATGTCACAAGATGAGGCACTGTGTCCTGGCATTAACAAGGGCAACTTAGTGGTCGTTCTGATCCCATATTCCACGGAAGCTAAAAAATGCTGTATTGACCAACTGGATATGTATCCAGTAAGTTTTTCAGTAAATGTGGAAGTGATTTGAATTGGTGTCACTTGTCTGTTACTCCAGACAATTCTAGACACACATTTCTGGTCACAATCATTAAGGATCAATGGTTGGCCACTGTACAGTTCATGGGGAACAGCAATACCTTCAATCAAATATTCTCCAGAGCCACTCATAGTAGATTGTGGTGTTCAGAGAAGTATGGGAATTTCTTCCACAGAGTAGCAGTTCTCTTGGAGTTGGAAATTGTTCGAGTGGAACTTCCTCCTTACGAATGGGATATGAAAGAAATGTGGGTGATTAGACTTAGTGGATTTAGAATGACAAGTCATAGCTATAAAATGGTATATGTTGGAGAATTCATAAGATTCTCTGCAGTAACAGAACAAACACAACTTGGTTATGAACAGTTCTGAAACATATTTGAATAGATATACTCCAGAACCTCATAGACTAGGACATATTGTATAACCACCATTTCTCAGGAAAATGGAAGAGCTACACATTATTATTATCCATAACTTTTACATCATGAGTTTTTAGTAGATTTCCCTGTGAGTATGTGGTATTTTAGTAAATGTAGGATTGGGTGAAGAGAGATGTGTTCTTGTGGTGAATGAGCAAATTGTAATGAATGAATGGGTTGCAAATCAGATTAGTTAGGTTTAGGATAGTCAATAACAACCATCCTCACCCCCACATATACACATTATTATTAGAACAATTTCTAAAATTTTGGCACTTCAATCTTTAGAGTTGTCGGAAACTTTTCTAAGCATTTTAAAAATTAGCTAGAACAATTAACTCATTAGAATTAAAAGACATTTGAGATTCCATCCTAGAAAGTTATGGCCAAACATCTATAATAAATTCATTTTAGTGGTAAATCCTTTAAATTTTTCTAAAAGATGTTTAAACAAATTTCTCGATACTACATAAATAATAGATGAGTGACTGAAAAAGACAATTTAGCAAGTGGGTGGAGGTAGAAAGATAAATGTCTTACCGCTTCCGGTAGTTGTGCAGCCGCAGCACCTACATGAATTGCATCATAGGGAGCATCAGATTTGTGGCCTTGTCGCCCATCTCCTGTAACTAGTTTCAGTTGCCCAGTTTCAAGCAATCGAGCCAGATTAGGATCTTTTTTCACATTTGCAACAGACATTTGTACAAGTTGATCTATGTGGTCAATGCCAACTGCCATTCCAGATGAACCAACCTAAAGCGACACAAACAGAAGATCATTATGAATACTTGATAGACCATTTTTCAATACAAGATTGAGAGAGAAAAAAAAAAGAAAAAAAGAGAGAGATACATATGGAAACTGATTGCTACTTAAACTATAATCAGAGAAATGGCAAAGAAACTAAAGGATTAGTAAAAGAAATGAGGAAAGTGAAATTTTGATCAATAAAATTGATTAAAATCTTAAGCAGTCAACAATTTTAATAAACCCAATAATAATATAATACATTTCAAATATTTGTGGATAAAATATATATTCATATCTTTCCCCTTACCAGTTGCAAAACTTAATTTGATCACTAGATGGATGAAGAGAGTAGAGTTGCATCAATTGATTTTCATTAGCCATCCTTCTTTATTACATCAGAGATTTTATTGCTTCCTTAAGAATTATCAATTATCATAAATTATAGAATGAATTTAAATAGGATTCTTATAATTTTCTATTATTTTTTGTTAAGTAATTACATAATTAGTCTAAGCGAAACAAAGGTTAGATGTCTTTCTCTATATTTGGTTATTTATCTGACTTACCATTAATGCCATACATGCAGTCAAGTAGCCACTTCCTGAGCCAACATCCAAAGCATGACTTCCCTCTTTCAAATGTTCTCGCAATAATTCCAGTGCATAGGCATGCTGAAAAAAGAAACATTATCAAATCACAAGTTTATCCCATGTCATCATGATAAAGAAAAAAAAACAAAAAAAAACTTCCACATTTTCCGCATATTAAAAAAATATAAGCAAAATACAAAGGCAGAGTTCTTTTAAAGTACATTTAAATAAAAAGATGTGAACAAGATGTACAGATAGAAGCATGAAAAGAACGGATGGATGAGAAAAGAAAGAAAGAAGAGGCAAGAAAAGAGAGATGAGAAAAAAGAAACTATGCTTATGAGAAAATATTTTATAACTTGTCTCGGATTCAGAAAGATTCTAAATGTTTCTTTGTTTCCCATATTTAAAATTTTTCAATGATCAGTTATGAAGATAGAGATTTATTAATCTTGAACTTGTCTGGCACAAAGCCATGATAAAAAGAGAATATAATGAAGATTTAAATCATAAGCAATGACAGGCATCTAGTTAATGTAATTTAACAACTAGTGTTATTACTTAAAGACTTAAGTGGGAATAACTGATTGAATTAAGAACAGACAAATCAAATCACTTTATTGCCACTTGTTCTGAAGAAAATTTTATAAAACCAGTGACGTTCTATAATTTCAGAAATTTTGGTGAAATTTTATATATTTTTTTTCTGCCAAAATTTAAAAAAAGTAATTCTGCAGTACAATATAAATATCAAGTTTTGGCTATAAAATAAAACTCACCATGTGTGGAGCACTAATTGTGACTCCATAACCAATAGTCTGTGGGGAATCAGCATATGGGTTCCGCTTTGAGAAATGTCCTCTGTCAACGTTTTTCATTGTGTCGCGAACTTTTTCTGTTTCAATTATACCATTTTCTAGATAAATAGGATTAAAAACAAAATAAACAAGTATCCAAACAAAACCAAAAAAGAAAAAAATGATGCCATATACACTAGTTTATAGGCTGACATTTTAAGCACAATAAATGTTTCTTGAAAAGTAGGTGGTCAACCACCAAAAGTTACTGATAAATGGCAGAAATGAAAAAAAAAAAAAAAAAAAAAAAAAAAAAAAAAAAACACAAGGCCATGGTACATATTGAAGATGAGAGATGACATTACAATCAAATATTACTAATACCAACTTCTGTTCTTTTACCAACTTTATTTTTGTTGCCAAAACATTTTTAATCAAACTGACATGATTAATTATAAAATATCTAAAAAATGAATATAGCCTATTACATCCACCTTTTTACCTATGTAAATAGCAACTAGACAACAGTTGCCAGATCTTGTGACAGTCAATCTAAATGTATATAGTAACAGAAAAATACAAATATTGTAAGAAAAGTTACAACTCAACAACTAAAGATTTCATATTTATTATAACAAAAGAGTAAAACTTTGTTACAAAAATATTTTAAACTATCATAAGTTCAAATATATTTTCTTCCACTTGAATTGCCTTGTAATATTGTTTAATTATATCAATAACCACATCCTCCTTTTCCTTACCCCAATTTAGAGTACATTTTCATATTTCCTCTGTACATAAGTAACTTGGCAGGGTATTGTTTATACCATATTTTATGAAATTATATTAGGCTGTTAGCAGTATGCATGTAATCTTGCTAATTCTGTAATAAAGATTTTTTCTTTTAATAATAACTAGCAACATGGCCCTGCATTGCCCGTGCTTGATTCAAAAATCGTACAACTCATACAGCAATCACCATCACTTGACTTAAATATTTTTGCCCTTCCTTGCCTTTAAAGGAGTGCCCTTTGCTGTGCTGATGTTGCTACATGCCTTACTTCTTGCCTATTTCACACTACGAATTTTTTCTAAGCTCTATACTAAACATTAAATCTGTTATGAAAAAAGAACTAAACAAAATGAACACAAAACGATCAGCTTTAAAAAAGGACTTGTAACTGGAAAAACCAAATGAAAAAAGAATGTTAACAACAAATACTTTTTTTACACCCAACCCAGTTCTGCGGAAACAAAATCAACGTTGAGTTTAAGCAAGCGAATGAGTCAATTGGAATAAAGTGCCATGCAGATTTAAATTTTTCCCACTTGTGACGAATGCAGCTATCGATTTTTTTTTGCTAGCATGCTAGTTAACATTCGTGTCAGTCAGCTGTTGGCTCTCACGCTGGCCAATAGAACCTTCCTGCCTATTCGTGGCAAGCAGCTATAGGCTCTCACTCTGGCCAGTACAAAATGGCTGCAAACTACATGAAAACTACCGTAGAAGCATGAAAAAATTGATTATTTCCACTATCAATGGGAGTTGGGAAATGCAAAGTTGGTCTTGGCCTTTCCACTAACTTGGAGCATGTGCATGTAAATTTTGGTGCAAATCCATTGAAAATTGCGGCCGTGCATTCATTACACACATGCACACATACACATCCTGCCTTTTATAGATAGAGATATGTTTATGATTAATAAAGAGAAGCATGGATGAATGCAAATTACTCAAACCTTTATTTTTTAAACCATACTAGTTTAATGGAAATAGTATTAAATTATTTATGTTTTCATTATATTCCTTCTGGTTGTTTGTGCAGGGATAATACCAATGGTTAAGGGACAATAGTTTATGATTAATAACAAAATGTGTAATGTTAGTTGTGGTCTTCAATATACTGATATTAGTATAGCATAATTCTCTAATGAGTGCCCTTTTAAAATTGGCTGAGAAAAGGCGTGTTGTCTTCTTTAGATGAGAAATGGTCAATTCATTTGTCATATAAAAGTCTCAATCTGAATTGACATCATCGAATTGTAAAGTTCATCTCATATCAGTATAGACTTAAAATTGACTACAAATCCGTGTTTAAACATTTCTTGCCTTCTACAACAATACACAAGCATTTTCTTATCCAATCTGAATCTACTTTTTGTTAGTTTTCACAGGGGAAATGTCATTAACTATTAAGAAATTGGCTTTTATTAGTAAATATTAACTAGGTATTTCACTGAAAAACAGTATTAAAAATAGGTTTATAGATTTTCAATCATTTTGGAAACAAGAACAGCTGCTTATTCAATTTTTGGCAAGAGTGATATTCAATTTTTTAAATAGAATATTCAGACAGTAGACAGGATAATAGATATCTTAGCCTTTATTTAATTTAAATGTATGAAATGCTTCATTTAAAAAGATAATTATAAAAACAATATAAACAATACTAGATAACTTTTCTACTGTGTATAATGTCTGGGAACTGGGGATCTATTCATCAGACATTACCATCACATTATGCTATAAGAGAGCTAAATATTATTTTTAAATATTCCTAAAGAATTAATTCAAATTTTTTTTCTTTTAGTAAGTAATTTGCTTGCAGCATTATAAGCAGACACTATTTTCAGATAGAAGAATAAAAACAAACATGATCAAAGTAATTTTTATGTTCACACTATCATATAAACACTCAACTGGACAGCAATACCCAAATGTGCATCTCCAAAGATTGAAATCAAAATTCCAGGCCAAATGAACATTTTGCCAATTCCTTCAAAAGAATTCAAAGCAATGATGTCAGTGTTAGATTTATTGGTGTTTTAACAATCAGATATTGTAGGTGATTCCTACTCTGTATCAATAAGATATGTGGGCAGACAGCGAGAAAATTCACAGCTTAGAATGCCGCCGCTGCTGCTGCAGTTGATACCGAGATTTCTATTAATATTGTTGCTACTAAGAGCCTGTCATTCTCCATCTGATAAAAATACAATTATTGTTTTTTTCTTTTTTAACCAGCAGGTCATTCACATTCCAGTCACATGTTAGTAAAATATAAGATACTTATAAAAAATTTTTTTTTAAAATGCCTCCTATTATGAATTTCCAATCAAGCTATGACAATAAAATTATTGCCTATGACCTAATTATAAATTTATCATATGATTGGATCTACACAATTTTTGTTTATAAGCAACTCTACTTATGACTAAACTCTACTGACATCAGTAGAAATCAGTAACTAAAAGAGAAAGTAAAATTTAAAATTTTTTAACAAAAAGAATTACTAAGTACATTAATTGATGCTGTAATAAAAAATTCTACTAGTTTAGTTACATTGAACAGTTTTTCTTTTTGATTTATTTGATCCAGGCATAGAAAATTTAAGTAGCCATTTAAATAACTTGAGAATGAATTCTTATGTATGAATTAATCAACCCAAGTACTGGTCAAAATTCAAAGTTGATTAAAAAAAAAAAACCCAAAAAGCAAAAATGTGTACTCAAAATAATACAAACACAACAACAGTGGCATGTGAACTAAAAAACCTAAATACCAAAGCCACTTTTAACATATGCATGTTAATAGTTTGGTCACATTAAAATATCTTATTTCTTGCTATATAAAAAACACCTAAAATTTGACAAAGAATATTTAGGAAAAAGAAAATAATATTCCACCAATAATTCACACATTTTAACAGTATTTTCATTTGTAATCATAATTTAATAATCATATATATTTGATTCTGGAGTCATCAGAAAACTATTGTATCAAACAGGCATGTTTAGATGCTCGTCTAATACCAATAATCCAACCATCAGGAGAAATCAGAGTAACTTTCTTTCAAGTGTACATGGAAAATATGGTAGTCCACATTTAGCACAAGGATGAGTCACCAGTTAAGCTCCATATAATACTCTAGGCTCAATTGATTAATATCTCTGTCAATATAACAATATGCTAATAATGTAATTTGAAAATTTTATTTTTTATAATCAAGAAAAGATAGCAGAAAATTACTTCACCTAATAGCATAACCACATTATGTATTCTATGAAAAAGTATATCTCAATTACTAACTCATTTTACACCTTGTATACATAGAAGTTAATCTGTGTTGTCGGTTGGCAAAATATCTAAACCTATTGAGCCATATTCAATAGTTTCTAAATTGTATTTATTTTCATGAAGCAACTTTAAAAGAAATAAATTATATCCTTTTATTTGTCACTTTTTTTTCTAAATATCATTTTTGATCCTCTTGATATTCTACAGCAGTTACTTCCAGCACTGGCTCTAAAGTCCCAACTGTGTTTACCTTAGTGAATTGCAGTTAATGAATTGTACCTACCCAGTACTGGACTGTATACAAATTTACAACTGTTAATAATACTATTATTAAATCTGATGAACACCAAATTTTAAGAGACAATTTTTTGCATGCATAAGACATTTATATAATCCTTAAACTAATACTTGAAAAAGAGCATTTACATTTATACAACATTTATTTTTCAACATCATCCAACACTTTTCTATTAATTACAAATCAAATATTATACAATAATTTACAATCAAAATTCAGCTAATAACCAACAGGCTACAGACTTCTTGATCCCATCCTCATACAATATTACTCTTCCTATGACAGGGTCAAAACAAGATTAAAATGACTGACAACAGAACAAGGATTTGAACACATGAGCCAATATGTCCAAAAAAGTAATGATCATTTTTCATGTGCCAAGTTTTTTTTAGTATATGGTCAATCATAGCTCTCCACAACTTCCTATCTTTTGTTGCTCTAAGTAGTTTTTGATCCTTTACCATACCTCTGTATCTCGGTTCTGCTCTCCAGTCATACAAACTCAATAGATTATATTCTGTTTCCCCTGACTGCTTCTCTTGTCCTGAGAGTATTAAATTCTCTAGGCCCTCTTTCTTCATTATGTCACAGAAATTTCATCTGTTTTTTTTTTTCAGATGAGTTTCATAAGTTCCTTTGTACTCATATTTTAATCATTGCCTGCATATCCAGTTCATGGTATTCTTAGCATATGTCAGGAGAACCACATCTTTGTTGCTTTAAGTCTCTTCTTCATCCGTGAA